AGGCCCCCCCCCCCGAGCACGCGGCTATGGGGGGGGGCCCGGCATGCATGTGTCCCCGCCCTCTGGCGCCCGGCAGGCGAACGGCCACGCCCCCTGGCGCCTGCCAACCTGAAAAGTTTGGGGACCACTGCCCTAAGTGATGTGCAGAGTATTTCACTTGGGCAGGAAATATCAAATGTACTGCTACAAAATGGAGTACAACTGCTGAATAGGCTTTGGGAGTTACAGTAGATCACCTGTTGAATGAGATGATAATATGATATAGTTGCCAAAGACTAATATCTTGCTGAGACAAAGTGAGTGACATAGTATCTTTTATTAGACCATCTTAAGAGAGACTAGCTTTTGAGCTTCACAGAGCTCTCTGGGTTTTACTAACATGATTGTTGTAGGGATATTGGATATTGTGGATTTTAGTACAGGCAGTCCCCGGGTTACGTACAATATAGGGACTGTAGGTTTGTTCTTAAGTTGAATTTGTATGTAAGTCAGAACTGGTACATATTGTAGGGGAAACTCTAGCCAAACATTTCTCCAGAGCTCAGTTTTATTCTCCCACACCTCACTTCCCTCAGTCCTTTATTCTCAAGCTGAAGTGTCTGCTGAGAAAAGCCGCTCCGCATCTCCCTTGTCTGCTGGGGGAGGTGCTAGCTTCGCGTCTCCCTGGTCTGCTGGGGGGAAGCAGCTAGTGCGGGGTTGCCTCACCCCGTTTGTAAGTAGGGATCTGATGTAAGTCGGATCCATGTAATCCGGGGGCCACACCAATTTTTAGTGTTTATATGGTTACTAAAATACTCCCCAGGAGAGTATATCAGAGGCAGCAGGGTGGGGTGGCAAGCAGAGTTGGGAATGTTGATCAATTTTTTCCATGTCCACTAAAGGAATGACAAGAAGAAGTCCATGTAACCTGCAACAAAGAACATTTAGGATAGATTGTCAGGAACATATAGATTGGAAGAGTTCCTTATAGTTTAGTATTGAAATAGGTTGCAGGTTGTAGAATCCCCATTATTGGAAGTTTCTAAGAGGAGGTTAGACAAGGGGTGGGCAGTAAGCAGTCTGTGGGCTGGCCATGGTTCACTGGGGTTAGCCCATGGTAGGCCACCAGGTGCCTTATTTACCTATGCATCTGCAGGTATGATCCCTTGCAGCTCATATTGACTGTGGATTGCTGTTTCTGACCAATGGGACCTGCAGGAAGTGGTGTCCCAGTCAATGTCTCATCCGGCATTTCCCATTGATCAGGAACAGTGATTGCACCCAATGGGAGCAGCAAGTGGCCTTACTTATGGCTGTACAGGGAAATAAAACATCTGATGGCCTGCAAGAGGCTAACCCTGGTGAACTGCATCTGGACTGCAAGACATTTATTGCCCATCTGGAGTTAGACAAAGGTAGTTAAAAATGATCTAGAGGTATGCTGGCCTTCCTCAGTGTGGAGAAGTGGGGGTTAGACTAGCTGGCCTCTTAACGCAGACACCAACTTTTCCTTTCCTGTGGAGGTATTCAACCCTGGCTACACTCTGAGGCATGGTCCCTCCTTCCCAAAGACCTTGCCTTCACTCTTCCTCTTCCTGCTCCAGTTCCACTCCATTCCCCAAGTCCCTGCCCTTGCTCTCCCTTTTCCTCTCCCTGCTCCTTGAAGCTCCTGCCCTCCTACTGCTTTTCACCTTCCCTGAGATGACAAACAGCTTTTTGACGCAGTGGGACTGACTATCACCTGTTTGGTGGTGGCAAAGCCCCCATCAGCTGTTAAAAAGTGGCAGCAGCTCTCATCAGCTGATGAGTGGGGATTGGAAACAGAGGTGGCTGATGGGTACTGAGCAGTACCCACTGTTTTCTTTCCATGAGTACTGTAGCCCCAGAGTACCACAGTCTGTGCCTGTGCATCTTGAGATTTCTATTATTCTATTATTACATTATTCCATGTTGTTTCCATTAAAACAAAACTATTAACTATCTGTTCTTACATTATGTAATTGAAAGCTTGAATCACTCTCTTATTCTTAATGCCAACCTGTATTTTCTTTCAGCCTGGGTTAGTTCCCTGTCCATGGGAATGATTTTCTTCTGCTCGCCCATAGTTAGTGTATTTACAGACATATTTGGTTGTCGAATAGTAGCCATTGTTGGAGCTGCCGTGGGTTTTGTTGGACTTCTTTTAAGCTCTTTTGTAAGGTAAGAATTCTGTTTTCTTCCTTTGATACATTTATGTGGCAAGTACTCTTTTTATATTCATAGTCATAAATGGATATTTTGTGTTATGTGCAACCTATACCCACTCAGTGTGGTGCCTGTCCTCCTTTTCAAGTAGTGGCTATGGTAAACAGAGGTTCAAAAGTCAGCTGCTGGCTTTGAACCAACAGAGCTGGACCTTTTAGGTCACTCACTAGAGTTTTATGCTTGAAGATCCAGAAGTCCTAACTTCACTTCATTGCCAGTGACCCAGCTAAAGCCATGGTATTAAATATCACCGATTGTGCATATATATCAGCTCTGAGAGCTGGGTGCAAGGGAACTTCTTGTTAAGGTCTGCAATTAACTTTAACTCTGATCCTGTATCCACTCATCCTCTGTCTGGAAACTTCCTTTCCTTCAATCTAATCTATAAATTTTTTGTTGACCAGAAAACTTCATCTCACAATAAACAGATCAAAGTAACTCATTTTTAGAAATGTCATGATTTCTAGAACTACACGATTAACCGATAAGCCTGGGCTTAACAGTTAATCTTGTTGACTACACATACCCTCCCGCCCCGCCGCCACTGCCTGTGTATCCGAGGCAGAAGGGGTGGGGAGGAGCGGGATCAGGTGCCCATAAGGAGCTGGTTTTAAGTAGACTTCCCACAAGCATTGGATCTGCTTGCCTTTCCTCCCTGCCGTGCTACTGCCTCTGATAGAGGGAGCAGCGTGAAGGATGGGGGGGAGGGGCATTCTGGAGCTGATACCCACAGGGATCTTTCAAGCAAGTTCCCTGCACGTGCCCTTTGACTCTTAAGTTTGTCTCACACTCTTTTATCCCTTCTCACATAGCTTGCTGATGCCAGAATGAAATGATCACCAGAACATGCTGAGCCATACACATAGAATCTGTTACGTTTTCATTTCTGTGCAGTGTAGTTGTAGCTGTGTTGGTCCTAGGATATTAGAGACAAGGTAAATGAGGTAATATTATTGGTAAAAGATATTACTTGTCTCTTTTGCACTTGTTGACAAATATGAAAAATTTGTAGAATTGTAATATTTGCATCCGTCCTTTATTAATGGAAGGGAATGCACAGGTCAGTTAAGGTTGTTTTTAGAAACTGAGGGCCATTGTCACCTTAAATGACATAAAATGCCTTTTTTATTTTCTATTGAAAAAACTTCAGAAATATCAGTAAAATTTGTTTTCAAATTGGATTTATTTTTCTAAAGTTTTACTATCTATATTCGTACAATGATCTACAAGAAATGGAAGAGCATTTTGCATGTAGTATGTCATTTGTTATATAAATTAGCATGAGTATATCTTGTATCATGTTTGTGAACTGGTGTGTAACCTGCATGTATTCAAGGTGTCTCTAATCTCCACACATGGTGCCCCCCACCATTCCATATGGTGCTCTAAAAATAAACTTCATGTAGATTTAAATATGACTATGATTTACTGATTGTTACATTTGCTCTTTTTAATATGAAATCCACCCATTAAGTGACTGTGTGTGTGTGTGTGTGTGTGTGTGTGTGTGTGTGTGTGTGTGTGTAAAAAATATTTTATTATATGTATGGTGTGTGGATGTAACCTCTTTCAAATGAATCCAAAGGTGCTTCTACACTGCACCATTATTCCGGAATAACGGCTGTTATTCTGGAAAAACAATACTAGCATCCACACAGCAATTGTGTTATTTCGAAAGAAAAATTGAAGTAACGGAGGGCTTTTTCCGATGTTGGTAAACCTCATTCCATGAGGAATAGCGCCTCTTCTTGAAAAGCTCTTTCAGAAGAGGGAGTATGTGGACGCTCCACAGCTGTTGTGTCAAAACAGCTCCTCCCTAGGGCCATTCTAAAGTTATTCCTCCCCAGTGGCCCCTGGGGTTCTAAATTGAGATATCACATTTCCACATTAGGGGAGCCTGCCTTGGACTAATTTGGAGGCTTCCCTGTAGTGTGGATGCTCTATTTCGAATAATCTATTCCAGAAGAAATCTTTCAGAATAATTTTTTCCAAAATAAGCTTGCAGTGTAGACATACCTAACACTGAAGATATGAGTTGTTGTTTACAAAAATGGTTCTGGTTTGTCATTATCAAATTTATATCCTTTCTTATGCTTATTGGTTTCTTTTTAATTATTTTTTGTTGGCCAGTTATTTTCTTAGTTTTTTTTTTTTTATTGATTGATGGTCATAATTAGTCAGTGTTACCTGTTTAATACTTTGTCTTGTCTTGCTGCTTTTGGATTACCTTTCATAAAATATGGGTCAAATTGCTTCTCTAAGCTCTGCAAATCAAACTTTTTTATCGGTCGTTTGTGCAAGTATTCCCTCCTTTGCATGTGCACATACACATGTACGCACATTTTCTCTGTCTCTGTTTCTTCCCCCTCCCACCCCCCAGTTCCATAGAATGTTGTTTGCACAGGTGTGCTCTGGCAAGAAGGTGACACAGGCAGCTTTCTGTCCTAAGATGGAAAACAACTGTGTGTTATGCATTCATTAAACTATTCAGAAAAAAACCCCTCTTGGTTACTGTTAATGAACCCACTTATTAGTAAAGACTTACAATGTTTTTTTAACTGCTGAAGTTTTGTTCAGAAATGGAACAAGCAGGACTTGTACAATGGGATTATACAGCTATGCATAATTTACATAATTTACCTATTTTTGCCAATATGCTTCATGAAGCCACAAAACTGGCTTTTCAAGTATTGCCCCTATGGGTGTTCCATTCTGGATGTGCTTGCACCCCCTGTAACTTTGATCAGCAATTTCTCAGAGGAACATCTGTTCGAGCTTTGCAGGCAAGTTACTCAGTGTTGTGCTCTGGACTGTTGTGATAGATCACTGCCCATGTGAACTGCCCTCAGTTCCTTCTCAACTGCCTCAACCTGAGACAGAATGGATGTTCACACAGCGTTTTCCCTCAATTATGTCCCCTAAATTCTTTTTAGTAGTTCATTATAACTGTTCTTAGTGGCATTTAATAGTTAGTATTAATTTTTTGCTGTAGTAATTAAAAAAATAAAACACCATACCTTTTTATCCATAGCTTATAGATAACTCTGAAGAGTGGAGAAATGTTAACTGGGAGGGAATGCCCAGTTTCCCTAGTTTCAAATGTTGCCTGTTATGCTAGGAGGCGGTCCTGGTGTGAATGATGAGCACTCCCTATGCATCTGTTGCCTTAGGGAATCTTGTATTTCCTAAAAGTGCAACTTGTCTGGCATTAAAATCTAGACCCAAATAAAGAGGGAAATCAAACTTCAACGCTTCATGTTGAGCTCACTATGTCCTTTCTGTGGCCATGGCCTGCCCTCCTCCACCCCTATGGACACTGGTCTCCAGGTAATTCACTGCCTCCACCATCTCTGCATCATACTCCTTGAGGGAGTTTAAGAGGAAGACCCAAAATTCCTTGTATAAGACTCTCAAAGACTGTCTTAAATGGTGGTGATGTCCATGGTGGGGAAAGGTTATGGAGGCCTTTCAAAAATCATCTAGTTGCTAGATGAGCAAAAAAAGTGTCCCTGGAATGATGGAATGCATTAATAGCCAAGTGCACTCTGAGAGAGGAGAGGGACATGTTAGACTGTTTGAGGTTGAGCATATAGTCCAAGATGAGAGGAAGCGTAACCTCATACGGGTCCGTGTACTTTCACTCACACCACTTGGAGAATCTCTTCCACTTATGAAGGTAGGTGGTGCGGGTGGTAGCACATCTGCTATGGAGGACTCCATAAAGTTTTCTCGTGTTTGGACCAGTGGCCTTTGGTGGGGGTCCCAGGAAATATAGGGGAGAGGTACAGGGACAAATGGGGATGAGGTTGTGCAAGGACATATGTGAACAGGGGATGGATGGACACATGAGAACAGGTACAGATGTGCCTGACTGAACGGGAGAGGCTAAGGGGCAGCTAGGCTTTGCATGGTGGAGTCTCCCTAACAATACCTACCAGCCCAAAAACCTGACTATTCAATACTTTACCCACATACACCCGACAGTCCTCCAAGTTCACACTCAGGTTCTTTTCCAGAAATTACTTTTCACTCCCTCAGCTGCTCCATTATCCCTGGCTCCCCTAAGCCTTTGCAGTGCTTCTGCAATATATCTTTCTGTATTGTAATTTAAATGAATTATTATTCAGGGTTCTTTATTAATATGCCTAATAAAGAATTTGTATGTCAAAAATATTTTCTTAATCTTCTTTATCTGCTTTATTAAAGACCAGATGCCAACAGCTATTTTGAAATAAATTACTAAAAGAAGAGATGCTCAGTCATGTAGTGCATTAACAGGATCTTTGAAATGCATATGTCCATGGATACTCCACTACCTAGCCTCCTTTCTCTCAACTTTGGAGTTTTCTGCTATAGAGCTGTGTGGTAGAGAAGGAACTGAGGTCAGCTCACCCTTACAGTTCTATATAGCAACAGCCCGGAGTATGAGACTAAAGTGCATGTGTAGGTCAAACAGACACTGATATGAGAAATCCCCCAAAGATGCAGAGGGCCCAAGTTCACCTACAGTGGAGCCTCCTTAGGAGGACACATCTCAAAGAACCAGTTTCAGCACAAAGTGAGTAACCATTTCTACTCTCCCTGCTATCATCCAGCTCCTCTCATATTCTTCATCTACTATTTTGCCTTTTGTCTTTCATATTTGTGAAGCTGTTACTCACAGGCAGTTACTGAGTAGGTTCCTGCTATCCTTTTAAAAGGACGAGGGGGAGGGGAGTTACCCTTTTTAGTCAGGGTACTAGGGAGAGTAGTAAGAATGAGAACTGGATAGTAAACAGTATGTCTGATTTCGTTTTCATGACCATCAATTAGTACTTGACACTTTTTCCAAATAGTTTAATGAATGCATAACAATGAAAGCTGCATATGTCACTTTCTTCTTGCTAGAGTATACATCCGTAAACATTATTTAGAACTACAGAACTTCTGCTTGACTAATAATGTACTTGAGATGGGGGAAAAATGAGTGTGTGCAAAGAGGGAATACTTGTGCAATATATTACCCATAATAAAGTTCACTGCTTTAAACTCTGCAGATTAATTTATGACCCATACTCGATTAAAGGTAACCAACAGCAGCAAGATATTTGCTATTTTGTCTTAAGTAATACTGATTAATTTTTATGACAATCTGTTAATGAAAAATAACTGGGAAAATAGTCTGAGAAAGTAATAAAGCATCAGAAGGGGTATAACCCAATAACAAACCAGAACCACTTTTGTAAATACTAAATCCTATCTCCAATATTAGGTTCCTTTCAAAAAGTTAACAAATATACATAGCATACTAATAATAAAACATTTATCCTACATTCACACACATTCTAATTATTTGTCTCTTAATGGATTTCATATTGAAAAATTAATACAATCAGTAAATCACAGCCACACTTAATAACTACATGAAGTTGTTTGTTTAGAGAAAATGCATACTATACTTGTCTACATCTAAACTATGGCTTCATTGACTTTTTTTAGTAGATCATGGTTAGAAGTCATTTTATAGACTGAAAAATCAGTATTAGGTCTAAGATACCACAAAACAGCAGCTCAATACCCTCAATACAGCTATTTACAAATGATTAGGCTGCCATCTTTTGGCAAACAAAAAAAAAAGCAAAAACATGATTTACAGACACAGATAAAATGTACTGTGCCACTGGATTCTGCTATTGGATTTTAATATAATTCCAAGATTCACAGTCCCTCCTGGTATATTAATCAGTGTTTATTGCTGCCCAGTATCCTCCCAACTGTTGTTGCCCTCCAGTGGCTTGCCTAGACTAGGATAAAAGGTGTATTTTAACACACTAGCCTGTTTTAACTAACATATATTAAAATTCTCAGGTTCATTGCCACTGGCTATCATATTTTAAAATATAATTTGCTCTGTTCTGTGCTACAATTTTAAAAAACTTTTACTTAATGTATTAATTTTTTTTGTAAAATACATCTTTCATCCTAATGTAGACTGCCACCTGAAGCAGCTTGGTATTTGACTCTCTAAGGCTACGTCTACATTTGCTCCCTAGTTCAGACTAGGGATGCAAATGTAAAGTACTGAAATAGCTAATGAAGCAGGGATTTAAATATCCCGCGCTTCATTAGCAAGATCTCATCCGGCACGCTAATTTGAATCATAGCTGATTCGAACCAGGAAGCGCATGCCGGGACATGTTAGTTTGAATCAAAGCCCTTGTTTCGAATCAACGTTACTCCTCATTGAGTAACGTTCGTTCGAACCAAGGGCTTTGGTTCGAACTAACGTGTCCCAGCACACGCTTCCTGGTTCGAATCAGCTGTGATTCGAACTAGGGCGCCGGATCTTGCTAATGAAGCGTGGAATGTTTAAATCCCTGCTTCATTAGCTATTTCGGTACACTACATTTGCCTCTCTAGTCCGAACTAGGGAGCAAATGTAGACGTACCCTAAGAGAATTAATGCAGAATTCTCCTCGGTGTTGCAGCAATTTCAATCTCCTATATATGAAAAGATGTTTTTGTTACTTTGCTTGTATTCTCTATTAATAATGACCATATTCTCTGGAGAAAGCTCTTTTTGGTGCCAGCCTAACTTTACTTCTGCTGTAAGAGAGTGGCTCTTTTCTCCCTTGAGTTGAAATTTGTGGTAGAAGATAATGATCAAAATCTCTGCTACGAGGGACAAATTTTAGTGTTCCTTGTTCCTAATATAAACTGGAGGAAGAATGTAATTCCCTTTAAATGGATTTTCCCATTACTTTTTTGGCCTATACTATACCTGTGTATGTAAATATAAATACTGGAAAACACTAATGTAGAAAAATGAGCTAACTTTGAATATTTTGTTATTGTTTAGGGGATGTTGTTGGGTAAAAAATCATGCCTAACCAAATCTGACCAATTGTATGTAACCTATTATACTAAAATTTGAAACCATTTGCTAGTTTTATTCTCACTATGAATAGGTTTCACTTGCTCCTTGCATTATTGTACATTTCTTGTGGACAATAAAAATGATTCACTTTTAGGCTCAAGTATTATCATAATGTTACAAAGTGTGGATTTCAAACATAATCAGGAAATGCTTAAATCTAAACAAAGTATTTTTTCATTTTTTAAAAACAAAACACAGATGCTACTGACTTTATGTTTTGGGTCTCACTTGAACTGACAATTTCTCTTTAAAAATATAAAGAGTACTTTCAATCAGATCTGGTCAATGAAAAATTGCAAAATAGTCTTTCTTTCCACCTTAACTGTTGTGTGCTTGAGTTATAAGCAAATTCTATTATAGTAAATTAGTACAAACTATATTAATATTTTATTCTGTAATCATATTTGGAAGATTAAGGAATATTGAACATGAATGTACACAGTGTTGTATGTAACATGCTAATGCAATTTTCAAACTTTTTTTCTTTTGATATAGCTCCATTGAACCTCTGTATTTCACCTATGGAGTCTTATTTGCCTGTGGTTGTTCATTTGCATACCAGCCATCCTTGGTCATTCTGGGGCACTATTTCAAGAAGCGCCTTGGACTAGTGAATGGCATCGTCACTGCTGGCAGCAGCTTGTTCACTGTGTCTCTGCCTTTCCTTTTGAGAGTGTTGATTGATTCAGTTGGCCTGTATAACACGTTACGGGTTCTGTGCATCCTTATGTTTGTTCTTTTCCTGGCTGGCTTCACTTACAAACCACTCATATCAACCATAAGAGACAAAGAGGGTGGAAAGAAGGGCATATTGAGATTTCCTCCTGCAAAGAAGATTTTCAGTTTCTCCATTTTCAAGGTTAAGAGTTATCGAATTTGGGCTTTTGGAATCCCAGCAGCACTTTTCGGATACTTTGTGCCTTATGTTCACTTGGTAAGTGCACATCTTTTGTTGTGTTTGGTTTATTTAAAATATATTCCTTTTATATTTTGGACGAAGAAAGTAATTTGTAATAGGAATATCCAACACCAAAACTGTCCTGTGGAGGATCATGTGGCTTGCATTCTAATGTCTGAAATAAGGTGTTCTAGCTTTCCATCAGAACCTTTTCACTCTTCGTCTGGAGGCCATTTCATTTTTAATTTCTCATTTTCTCCCTTAATAGAAGAAAGAAAAATATTTTAACTTCACAAGAAAGCCTCTGTATCTCTTCAAACAATTTTTACTATCGACTGAACAAAATAGCTTGATATTTAGGTTCTGAACAGTAAATATTGCCAATTATATTCTATATTCATCTGTCTTTGGAATGAGGGTAGTGACTAGTTGCAGCATATTAGGTTTCAGAGCATTACTGAGATTATATTTTAGAATATATCAACAATATGCTTTGGACTCATTGGATACTTTATGATAAAACACTCCTGCAGATAACAGAGGGAAATTTTAACTATGAATGTAATGAAAGAATTAAAATACAGGCAGTCCCTGGGTTACGTACAAGATAGGGACTGTAGGTTTGTTCTTAAGTTGAATTAGTATGTAAGTCGGAACTGGTACATATTGTAGGGGAAACTCTAGCCAAACATTTCTCCAGAGCTCAGTTTTATTCTCCCACACCTCACTTCCCTCAGTCCTTTATTCTCAAGCTGAGGTGTCTGCTGAGAAAAGCCGCTCCGCGTCTCCCTGGTCTGCTGGGGGGAAGCAGCTAGTGCGGGGTTGCCTCACCCCGTTTGTAAGTAGGGATCCGATGTAAGTCGTATCCATGTAACCCGGGGACTGCCTGTGTATAGCAGAAAAAAGTTAAGATTTCTTACTTAATCCATGCTTAATTTTCCATTTTGATATATGATGTCACCAATATTAACTGGAATTTTGCCAAAAACTTTCACTGCTAATAAAACGATGCTTTTATTAGAACCAAAATATTTTGGGCTGTTCTTTGCCTTTCCCTTTGAAATTTCATAATAAATAAGAAAAAGGAAATTGGAATTTTGTATAGCTCCAGTAGTATCGTTCCCATTTTCACAGGTTTATAACTGCCAAGGTTGGTGCTCCTTTAGGATAATTCCTGTCTCTACAATAACTAATAGAATCTGGAGCTATAGAATCATAGAATTATAGGACTGGAAGGGACCTCGAGAGGTCATCGAGTCCAGCCCCCCACCCTCAAGGCAGGACCAAGCTCCGTCTACACCATCCCTGACAGATGTCTATCTAACCTGTTCTTAAATATCTCCAGAGAGGGAGATTCCACCACCTCCCTTGGCAATTTATTCCAATATTTGACCATCCTGACAGTTAGGAATTTTTTCCTAATGTCCAATCTAAACCTCCCTTGCTGCACTTTAAGCCCATTACTCCTTGTCCTGTCCTCAGAAACCAAGAGGAACAAATTTTCTCCTTCCTCCTTGTGACACCCTTTTAGATATTTGAAAACCGCTATCATGTCCCCCCTTAATCTTCTTTTTTCCAAACTAAACAAGCCCAGTTCATGAAGCCTGGCTTCATAGGTCATGTTCTCTAGACCTTTAATCATTCTTGTCGCTCTTCTCTGTACCCTTTCCAATTTCTCCACATCATTCTTGAAATGTGGCGCCCATATGGTGCCATAGAAGCGTCAGTTATCCACATCTTGTATGTGTACTTGAGTTAATTTGGCTTTGTCTATGCTTACTGAGAGATTGGTGCTATGAGCTCCCTAAGGGGTAGATTTAGTGGGTATAGTAAATGCCCACTAAATGGACTGCTGATCTTGCTACTCCGGAGCAAGAAGAGTAAGGGGAGTTGATGGAAGAGTTTTGCCTGTCAATCCCTTGTCCCCCAGTGGAGACACTGTAGTAACTCAAACTAAGGTTTGTTGACTCCAGCTATGCTATTCACACAGCTGGAGTTGCATACCAGTGTTAGACATTGACCCTTTGTATATGCTCCTTTACCACCTTCTCTGCCTGCAAAGTTCGTACTCTAATGATATTTGGTAGAACTTGAAGGCACCTTTCATGAACTTCATCTAGCTGCCCATGTATTTATACTAATAAAAAACCAATGAGTAGTCCTATGGCACCTTAAAGACTAACATACTATATCTAATCTATCTATCATAGAGTCATAGAATACTAGGACTGGAAGGGACCTTGAGAGGTCATCGAGTCCAATCCCCTGCCCTCATGGCAGGACCAAATACTGTCTAGACCATCCCTGATAGACATTTATCTAACCTACTCTTAAATATCTCCACAGATGGAGATTCTACAACCTCCCTGGGCAATTTATTCCAATTTTTTACTACCCTGACAGTTAGAAACTTTTTCCTAATGTCTAACCTAAACCTCCCTTGCTGCAGTTTAAGCCCATTGCTTCTTGTTCTATTCGCAGAGGCCAAGATGAACAAGTTTTCTCCCTCCTCCTTCTGACACCCTTTTAGATATCTGAAAACTGCCATCATGTCCCCTCCAATCTTCTCTTTTCTAAACTAAACAAACCCAATTCCTCCAGTCTTCCCTCATAGGTCATGTTCTCTAGACCTTTAATCATTCTCGGTGCTTTTCTCTGGACCCTCTCCAATTTCTCCACATCTTTTTTGAAATGCGGTGCCCAGAACTGAACACAATACTCAACTTGAGGCCTAACCAGCGCAGAGTAGAGCAGAAGAATGACTTCTCGTGTCTTGCTCACAACACACCAGTTAATGCATCCCAGAATCATATTTGCTTTCTTTGCAACAGCATCCCACTGCTGACTCATATTCAACTTGTGGGCCACTATAACCCCTAGATCCCTTTCTGTCATACTCCTTCCCAGACAGTCACTTCCCATTCTGTATGTATGAAACTGATGGTTCCTTCCTAAGTGGAACACTTTGCATTTGTCTTTATTAAACTTCATCCTATTTACCTCAGACCATTTCTCCAATTTGTCCAGGTCATTTTGAATTATGACCCTATCCTGCAGATTAGTCGCAACCCCTCCCAGCTTGGTATCATCTGCAAACTTAGATCTCTTGCTATATATATATATCTATATCTCATGAGCTTTCGTGGGTAAAACCACTTCTTACAGCTTTTGATGTCAATAGGATGTTGAATGTAAGGAAAGCTGGTTTTATAAAAAAATTAGTCTGGGACACTTCTAGCACACTCAATTAGCTGAATTGGCACTGAAACTACAATTGACAAGTACTTTTTTTTCCTCCTTCTCCCTTTTTATTCTGAGTCTTCCCTCCCCCTCCCCCCCACCTGCTTTTTTTTCTCCTCTCTAGATCAGCTCATCTGAAGAAGTGGGTTTTGCTCACAAAAGCTCATGATGCTATACATATATTTTTGTTAGTCTCTAAGGACATGTCTACACTGGGGAGTTATTTCAAAATAGTTATTTCTGGTGTGATTTTGACATACTTTCCCAATGTATACATGTCGCAAGGTGCCACAGGACTACTTCTTGTTTTTAAAGTTACAGACTAACTTAGTTACACCTCTGAGATTTCTTACCAGTTATTTTTTAGCAGTTTCCTAACTGGGGTTATTGAGCCTGAAATGATGGATTTGCAAAGCAAAGGATTTAGGCTGACTGCTCTACACTTAAAAATTAGATTTACATACTTGCCATCTCAGGACTGTGAAAAATTCATGCCCTGAGCACTGAAGTTAGGTTAGTCTGTCCCTGTGTGTAGGTAGATTGATGGAACAGTTCCTCCAACATATAGTTAGTCCATCTCTTTGAGAAATGGTAATTATATCAAAGGAAGTGTTTTTCATCAATGTAGCAAGCATATGCATTATAGCAGCATTGGTTTAGTGCTGTAGATGTGCCACTGTATATCTGTAGGATAGGTGTACCCTTAAGAGAGAAATATGAATGGATGAATTGCTTATTCTATTCCACACCTTCAGCAAAATCACACTGAAAATGTTTGATAAATAGCTGCTATCTATCATGGAGGAAAAATCAGGATTTCTTTAATTTTCATGAATGTCTGGTGTAATTCAGTAACAGCTTCATGATGCAAAAATGATTTTTTTTAAAAAATGCGTATATGCAACAGTGAAAATTATGATGTCATGGTGATATATCACTTTGTGGCAATTAATGCATTCAGTACATTAAATGATTCTGTATGAAATGTCATTGCTGGTATTTAAATTACTGTCTTGTAAGCAGGCATTATTTGAATTTTTTATTAAAATTGTGACTTTTTTTTGGTTACTTTGTTATAATTGTATGTAGTCTGTATTTCTTCAAAATAGTGAGTAACTCCTTTTTTTAACTCCAGAGTAGATACCACATGAAATAGAAACAGCCTGAGGCGCTAGACTTTTGTTTGCTTTTGAGTTTTCCAGATGTTCCAGAAACAAGCAAAATGAATTTTAAAAAATGATTTTGATGCCTTTCTTGTATGAGTGAGGAACTAGCACTAACTAAACAAATGAAAGTTACTAAACACTCTTTAAAACTTCAGAATTTTGAAAGACAAAGCTAAGATACCTTCTATCACTAAGGTAAATTGGGTTACACAAAATATAGGCAAAAAAAAGACTCTCTTTTAACATGCCAAAAGTTCTACAGCACATAAGAGATTCTCAGCTTCTATTAGGATGCTTGTAAATGTGTGTTGAGGCCCAAGATATAATTAAGGCTATCTTAGAGCTGGGGAAGAAGAGACTACATAGCTTACTAATTTAAAATAGTTTATTCTGTTTACTGTATGCATTTCACATACAGCTGCTCTGCTTGCAGAATGGTCTCTTCAGTATTACATAGGGGTAATTTAGGGTTCAAATTGAGCAATATGGATCCAGTATGTAACAGCAACTTGTGATCTATGCTGCTTTTAATGGCATTATACTTTCTGATGATGCCTCAAACAGTTAAGTAAAGATAGGTATGAAATGTAAGATTTTAGAAAATGATCTTGAAATAGCAATATCAAGGAT